ACTCCCAGGTATTACCTACTACTAAAGATCGAAATCTGTATTATTAATGAGAGATTCTGTGGGACTAAAATACATGTCCTTACATATCTCCTTATTTTCAGCTGTTATGAGAATTTCCATCCAACGCCAAGGGGGAAAATTAAGAATTTTATAATGAAATTCGATGATGTAAAGTACAGCGTAGGTATCAACAACCTGTCAGCATACAAGACTAAGGGAAAGTTCACGTGTGAACAGGAAAGATTGTACCCTCAATTCTGTAAATAACCATCATATTGACATTCATTCTCTTTTTCTACATTCCAAAACGACCTTCGCAATGTTCAAACCAATTTAGAAAACGTTGCACTTACACATACTTACCTCTTTGTACTGGATCATTTGGTATCTTAATAAACCAATGTTTCAGTCCCAGGCTTTTGATTATTTTAAAGACAAAGTCTTTACACCGAAAACAGCACAACCAACGATGCCGTCACTAACACGTTGCTGAAAAGAACAGCGGCTTGGCTTAAAATTGTTCTTGGAGACGTCTTTGACAACTTGCTTGAGTTTCACTCGTACAAGAGTAAGTCCTTTGTTGTAAACAAGAAAAAAGGAACTTATCATCTTAAGAAAAGACGCCAGTCTAGTCACTATACTACCCGATATCTTTCTAGACAACTTACGATACAAAGAGCGGACAGGTTCGCCCATTGGACATATAGGATCTCAGGATTTAAACTACTTTAGCAAGTTTAGGCCATATAGTAAATATTCAACCGTCTTGCAAGACTTGTCCACAAAATTCCGAGATTTGAGATTAAACTTTTTAAGTACGTCTTCAAAAGTGTTAATTTATGTAATTTGGATTTCGTTGATATTGCCAAAACAATTGACCCTACTATTTGGAACTTTCATTAGTTTTTGTCATAAACAAAACATAAATGGCAATTACATTAAATGTTTTGACACTCCACTTATACCACCTGACTGCCATACATCTCCAAATATACGAAACCGAGTATTTAGGTAGTTCAGGGGTATAGAAAAAAATTGAGATTTTTTTTTTAATATTTTGCTTAAATGAAGATTTTGCAATGCATTAAAGAATGCTTTAAAGATTGTTTTGCTTTTTTTACTTTTTAAGTTTTCTTCTGGTTTTGTTTGTTAAATGTATGTTGTGTATGTTTATATTATTTGTCACAAACTTATTGTTCAGAGTTTATATGACAATAAATAATTGAATTAAAAACGAAAAGAATTGAATTTAAAAAATAAATGATAAAAAGTATGGGTCACCGCGCTATTTTTCAAGATACGAGTCGTTCCAAATTGCCAAAATTTGCTGAGATTGTTCAAGAAAAAACACATGTTTGTGCATAAAAAGATATCCGAGACCGAAGTTTGAAATAAAATATGAGAAGATAGGTTTTATTATTTATTTTAAGAAAAACCGAACTTGTTTTCTAGCTACAAGTACAAAATGAAAATTTCCCTATATGTCCTGTATAAATTTTGTACTGCAGCTTGGAGAAGTCCATATAAAAATAAAAGCCCAACTTTCTGATGTGACTTACAGAATTCCATTAACCCCTACTGCAAACGATATAGTGGTTCATGTAGATCATTCAAAACCCCATCTTTGGAATGTCCGTGTCACACGGTTACTTCCTGAAATATAATTCAGTCGGATGAATCTGACACAAAACCCCCATCGTTTGATTTGAATATGTCATATAATGAAAATGATATTTCCATTATTACAGATGTAACTCACTGTAACTCTAACCCACAAAGAACCAGATGTGGAAGAACAGTTAAAAGGCCTACAAAGTATTCACCTTGTATATAGTTTCAAATATTTTGTTAATAATGTTTGTACTGAAATCAGTACTTTTTTATATAAACAAAAAATCCAAATTTGCAAATCTTTTAAATTGTATCGGTGCGGTAGTGATAATACTAAGAATGGTCAGCGGATTTAATAAGGTATGAACTTCTCATGTCTGGATTTATGTTGGAAATCAGAAATAGCAACAAGAATATTTGACGTTTGTTTTTATGTATATTTTCTGCACAGCGGAATTTAATTAATTATGTTGATATACACACATTAGTGAAGGATAGAGCAATGCATTGACATATGTTGAGACAAGATATAAACATAAACTATATATACAATATATTTACATATGTTCGCTTCGAAGACCTAATAAAAAGGCTTTATTTATTTATCAAATAACAGAAAAGCTCACCTGGGTTTTTAGCACATAAGTGTTATATTTTCCCAGTAACTCATAAAAAGAGTTTATCAAACATTGATAAGAAATTGTGCGTTTGAATTTTTAAAGTTTCACACATTATAACTATGAAAAAGGCTGTCGCGCATTTGTTTTCTTCATTTACTATTTACATAATGTATGTTTGTTAACGCTATGGGTTATATTTGCCCTGTACTATCATGTGGACTCCGTCAGTACCAGAGACACTGGCACACAAACACACGAGAAGCATCAGGTAATTTAGATGTATAGGATGTAACGATATGTTTTCTGGAAAGCACCTAGTGAATGAGCATCTCATGAATTTTCATTACTTCACATCTCATCATGCTGTTATCGTCATGTTATCCTTACAATTAAAAATAATGGTCAACCTTAAGGACATCAATCCTGGGAAATGCTTACCACCACTATATGAGGACAGCAAAAACCTGGAAGTTGCTATGGTTCAGGAGGAGGAAGAAGTTTACGAAGATGCCATGGAATACGTCCAACACGGTGAGGGTGTTCCTCGGGACATTGAATACGAGTTAGTAGAAGAAAATGGGGATAATACTATAAAATTGTTGTCTAAGAAAGACGTTTCATTTTGAACATTTATATTGTGTATTTTATATTTATATTTATTGTGTATTTCATGTTTGAAGTTGAATTGCCTAATATAGACCATTTATTGGAATTTTCAATGGTCTAGATCGGGGGAGTGCGACCGTTGGGCTATGATTTTGAACGTAATTCTGCAATGCCATGAATCTTTCAACCTGGTTAATTCTAAATAATAGTATTTACGCTTGGGAAATGTTCTTACAACTTTAAACATTAAATTTACCTTACAAATTTGTCATTAATTAACTTTTATATCTCAAACTGTTATTTTTCCTTGAAAATAGCCATGCTTTTCATTTAGAGTAGTTCCGAAATTACTTCTCTAGATTTTTCGATTGGGTGCATTCGAAGATCTTTCGCGGTGCATTTTTCTAAATCAAGGCATTACAAGTTTTTAATAGGAATTTTTATTAGTTTAACTTGTGTTTATATTTCTTATTGGATATATAAATTTAGAAATAGTTTCTGTAATTAGAGTGAAATTACTTTTTAAGGCCCTCTCATTCTTTAAATCATTGCTTTTCCTGTAGATTTGTCTTTATTAATATGATTAAAAAATTGAAATCAACACGTTTAATAATTTCATGCGTCCGAAGCGCTTTTCTGGAGTTACCTTCATCAGGAACGCTCAAAGCCAAACATTAAAGTATGTGAACTTGATCGACTTTGTTTAAATAAGCTACCAAAAAGGGGTCACAGACTCGGGATCGAACTACAACAGAACCACGAGCTTAAATATACACTGTTGCTTAAATATACACTGTTTTGAAGGTTTAGTGTTAAATATAACACTGTTCAGATTATTGTGGTTGATTTAGGTGGAAGCAGGACAAATCACTCAACTGGAAAATCGCCCCACTTTTAAAAAAATCGCGCCAAACAGTTTTACCAACTCGCCCCACTTGTGAAAAGGGTTAAATGATTAATCCTGTTAATATAACTCCTGCCAACAAAACATGGACCACTAGCGCCTTCTACCAGATAACATAATGGATTTAATGTATGTTTGTTTTAAATGTTCTTGTTATGCATACTTATGTAGATGAGCAAACCTATCATCTAAAAATAAAAACATTGAATATATTTACCAGGAAAAAACGTCACTTAAATGCTGATGCTACCTTCTTTCTGTTTCATTTCAACCAAAAGACAATAACAAAAAAAAGGATGCATCTAACGTTATCATAAGTGGGGCGAATTGGAACGCCTACACTCGTTATAGTTTAATTATTTTATTCATAAGTGGGGCTAGTTGGTAGCCATTAATTCTATTCATACTTTTATTTATCAGTGGGGTATGTTGGCAGACATAAATCCAACGGTATTACTTCCTTTTTCATAAGTGTAGATAGATGGCATGACTCAGGAATTTTCTATTTTTCACATGTGGGGCGAGTTGACGTTAAAGTCTCCGAAAAATGATACTCACTTCTTTATTTAAACAAAAAGAAAACAAAAAAAAAAACCAAAAAGAATTACAAAAGATGTTAATCTAAGGTTTTCATAGGTATTGATTTTATTTATAAGTGGCAGGAACATATACAACGGGATAGGATCTTTTTCCATAAGTGGGGCGGGTTGGAATGACTAAATTCATCGTTGTTAATCTATTTGTCATGAGTGGGGCGAGTTGGCAGACCTTACTTCAGCGGGATTTTAACCCTTTTCATAAGTCGGGCAAGTTGGTAATCAAGAGTGGGTTGATTTTTTAGAAAGTGGGGCGATTAGATGTGTGGCGATTTGTCATGGATTCTTTTGGCTGTTGTTTGGTTTATGGTGTGGGTGCTTTAAATCTTTAGAATAATATTTAGGTTGATCTCAGTGAACAATCTTATCAAAACCGTAGTAAAAGAGACATCAACATTTCTCAGAAACACTTATGAAATTTACATGAAAACTAGACAGGATATTTAGCTCCGGTTACAATACTAGCAATGACAAAATTATTTACATGTGAGACCTAACGAGTTGGATTGACATATGTGCAACGACATAAATTCATGTACATTTACGACCCTATGTTGATAATATAAAAACTATTTCACTTGATATCGTTTTCGTTATAAGCGCGGTCGTTCGATAGACCTTTTGGATAGGTGCGTATGTACTAGCAACGACTATTTTATTCGGTCTCTAAAAACACCGCAAAGGACCTCCTTTGTGCACAAAGGAGCACAAAGGAGCACAAAGGACCACAAAGGAGTATGATAAGTGCACAAAGGACCTGAAATTGTTTATTAAATGGGGGGAAAGGCATTTCTCACGAAAAAAAATATTGTTTTTTATTAAAATACGTGAGTTAAATCGGTATAAAGTTGAAGATTTACGAAACCGTGTTCCGTAACCGGTACGGATATGTATAAGAGTACGGCCATTTTCGATAAGATGTTAGTACACCTATAATTATATATTGAAAAGTATTGAGAAAACATGAACATATAAAAAAGACTGGACATTAAACCGGAGAGAAAAAATTAAGCTAACACTGTTTGTAAAGATTTCAATTTCACACAATTAATAAGTTATGTATAACGAGTACTTGATTGCGCTTGGGATGAACAAAGCGTTATATATTCTTACAGTTAATTATCAGTGTTCAAAGACCGTCTTTAAAACCAATAACATTGTTGAAAAAACAATTATATGTATTAATTTATTAAAAAAAACACACAAAAAAGACTTCAGACATATGCAAAATATACAAGTTTTCTAAATATAGATCTTACAAGCGGCGATCAAAGACGTCGTCTATTGAAGTTAAAAAAATGAGAAATATAAACCATTTTACTCAAAATCTTATCAGAAATAAAATAATATAAATAAGAGAGTTCTTCACTGAAACATTCAAAGCTATACAAATTCAACATGAATCACTCTCAATACAACTACGTGTCAAGTCTATCTAGACTTCAACAGGTATACTTTTTTCAAGTTTGTTTAAAATTATGTTTAATTTGAAAGCAATTTATAAATTTTAAATTAAATATTTTATTTTCATCAGCATTGCTTTAAGGAAACTGAACTCCTTCTTTTTTTTATCAATCATCTCAATATATGATGAATCTAATTAACAAGCTACTTAGCGTAGATGATTCTTTATACGGTATTTATTTCTTTTCGTATAATTATTTGAATAGTTAATATGCAAAATATCTACTTGCTATTGCAAGTGTTTCTTTTCAATTATTTGAAAAGTCTAAATTTTGATATTGCGAATGTTAAAATTTTCGAAATGATATATGATTTTGTCGATTATATATATTAACCATTTATGTGTGAATTCAGTTAACACATACATAGCAGAAAGTAAATTTCAGAAACTATTTGTTAAAATAATTAATTTCATTTCAATATCCATATTTTATTTCAAATTTTGATTATCCATTAATCAGGCTAATAAAATACAAATAAATAAATTGAGAAGATGTATTATATGTCAGTAACAAGCAACCTAACGACACAAATAACCAAATGACAGCTCTACAGACTTTTTTTCACTGTGCTGAGTATACATTTTTGTTCTGATTAAGATTCGTCAAGTAAGAAAATTTCGGTAAATACTTTGTTTTTGTGCAGAATAAAATTTGATAAAACAAAGTATATATTGAAATTTCTGAAAAACGGATAGCAAAATTCAACTCCATTTGCTACTTTTAGAATTACTGCCATACCGTTCCCCTTGGTGCCTTTAGATTCTTTCCGTCATAGCAACTCAAGATTCGTCAAGTAAGAAAATTTCGGTAAATACTTTGTTTTTGTGCAGAATAAAATTTGATAAAACAAAGTATATATTGAAATTTCTGAAAAACGAATTGAAAAAATTAAACCCCATCCTATCTTTAGAATTACTGCCATACCGTTCCCTTTCGTCAAAGAAATCTATTGTTCGTCAAGTAAGAAAATTTCGGTAAATACTTTGTTTTTGTGCAGAATAAAATTTGATAAAACAAAGTGTATATTGAAATTTCTGAAAAACGAATTGAAAAAATTAAACCCCATCCTATCTTTAGAATTACTGCCATACCGTTCCCTTTCGTCAAAGAAATCTATTGTTCGTCAAGTAAGAAAATTTCGGTAAATACTTTGTTTTTGTGCAGAATAAAATTTGATAAAACAAAGTGTATATTGAAATTTCTGAAAAACGAATTGAAAAAATTCAACCCCATCCTATCTTTAGAATTACTGCCATACCGTTCCCTTTCGTCAAAGAAATCTATTGTTCGTCAAGTAAGAAAATTTCGGTAAATACTTTGTTTTTGTGCAGAATAAAATTTGATAAAACAAAGTGTATATTGAAATTTCTGAAAAACGAATTGAAAAAATTCAACCCCATCCTATCTTTAGAATTACTGCCATACCGTTCCCTTTCGTCAAAGAAATCTATTGTTCGTCAAGTAAGAAACACGTTTTCGTTATAGCAATTAAAGATTTTCTCCTATACCATTTTTTATGCGTCATGTTCAAGACCAGTGACAGATATTTCAGACATTTTCAGACCAATTGACGTATACGAAATATAAGAACCTTTTCTAAATACATAATATAACTTTCATTTTCTTCTTCTTCAGGAAGCAGCTAATGGCTATGCTCATTTAGTTACAGCTGCAAAGACAGAGTACAGATATATGCCCATATTTGTGCGTCCGTCGGAATGCAATCAAGGATCACTCATAGTTGACCAGACAGCCCAGAATATTCTGACAAAGTGCCGTCTTCACGACGTTGGAACTCCGTATGAGGTTTTCTCGAATGGCGGTTGCTTGTTCGATTCAGTGTCTGTGTCATTGTGCGGAACTCAAGAATTTTCAACAGAGTTGCGTGTTCGTACAGCCATAGAAATGATAAGACTAAAAAGCCGTATCATGTCTTTACCCGTAACTCCAAGTTTGATGACAGTATCACCCAATTATGTTGCCTCTGTGTTTTCTTGTGCATCTCCAGGGGGTTACTCATCAATATGGACAATATTTGCTTTGGCAAATGTTATTGGTGTGCCCATAAAATCAGTGTATCCACCTATGAACGGCATTAACGATCGTCCTTTTAAAATTTTAAACTTGACTGTCATGCCACAAAAGCCATCAATAGATACTGATACTTTGACAGTTATGTGGACACGTCTTCAAGGCTATCAAACTAAACACTACTGGTATGCTGACCACTTTGTTCCGCTCCTCAAAACTATAACAACGACAAGTAGAAACTATCGGGTTGATTCACCGTCGCCTCCTTCTCTTAATAGCACTACAGATTTTCCACCACTCGGTTCATCTGCTCCGAAAAGACGACGAATCCAACGTGACCCATTGTCATCACCAATACCAACTTCGCCAATACCTGTTCAGGCGTCATCTCCTCCAAGTGCAGTCAAAAGCACACCTTCAAAGTTATTATTACCACCTTTGCCAAACTTATCACCTATACCAGGTTCTACAACAAAAGCAAATACCATGCAAACATCAACACCAACCCATTCTGCTTCTACATTATTGACTCAAACTGCAAACTCATCTGTGCAACAGTCATCTAACAGTCTTACAAATGGCAAAAATCTAACAGTAAATGACTTGTATCATGCAATTATCGATGTTAACACAACTCCATTGGCAAGTATCCCAAAAGGCCAGAAAGACAATGCATATTTTCTTATAGACAATTCAGACAATGTAAAACGCAAATTAAATGGTCAGTCTTCTCAGTACTCTGACGACTGTGGTGCCTGGGACAGTCATGGTGGTCATACAGTGAACACTACTTTTGTTGTGCAATCTAATAACACTCTTCGCATTGCTTTTATTAAAGAGGGACTATACTGCTTCGAGAAACAAGTGAAAGGCAAAAAAACATACGTGCCTTACAATCCTCAACCAGATCCAGACTCTGTTTTAACACTGAATCGTTACTACATCCCTCTTAAAAGGGACAAAACTTTCAAGAAACGAGTCAGTGCATTTAACAAACTACCATCAACATTTCAGAATCGCCAACATATAGCCGTTGTCGAGTATACAGGTTCATGTCCAACTACCAACACAACACATGGTAATGCCAAACACGTCTCACATGAGTTTATACGTACAGACCCTTCAGTAATGAATCGTATAACCGAGGGACTCAATAATAAGAAATCCTGCATCGAAATATATCAGGACATGGTTCTTAAAGACCCTGATAACGCACCGAAAGATCTTCAACAAGTCCATACAAAAAAACATTACAACAAAAAACAGGTTTCTCATGCTGCCAAAGCCAACATAGCCGATGAAGTGCTACAAATTTTGTCAATGGTAAATGATCATGACTTTGTGAAAGAGGTTGTATATACACAGGATAACAGTAAGCCACCATCCATCATATGCTACACGTCTGAGCAGATAGCTGACATAAAAACACACTTGCAAGCTGATCCTAGTACAGTCCTTGGTGTTGACAGAACTTTCAATTTAGGTTCAGTTTTTGTGACAAACTTTGTTTATAAAAACAAAAAGGTTATTTCGAAGTCAACCCGTGACCATCCAATATTCATTGGGCCAGTGTTTTTCCATTGGGACGGTTCCATGGAGACTTACCACACTTTCTTTTCACACTTCAAAGCTCGGATATTAACGGAGGTGCAATGTTTCGACGTCAAACTTGGTAGCGACGATGAAGGTGGTTTGACAGTTGCATTAGACAGCGTTTTTTCAAAGCCGGACAGATTACTCTGCACAAAGCACATAAAAGACAATGTGACAGATTACATAAAAAACAAGCTGCCTCTAACATCTAATCAAAGATCGCAGATTATGTCCGACATTTTTAACGACAATGGCATAGCAACAGCTGATGACACCATAGATTTCGACACCAAGTCCAATGAACTTTGTAACAGCTTTCCGTGTTTTGCCAATTATTATGAGATAAGACTTAAAAACCGCTTGTTCAATTATGTTAATCAACCCTATCGCAAATATGACTCTAACAGACTCTGGACAAACAATAACTGTGAGTCCATGAACCACCGGTTTAAGGTAGCACTGAACTGGAAACCACATCAATTACCAGAACTTTTAGACAAAATATACAATGTGATACAACTTCATCACACAGATTTAAGACGCAGTATAGTTGGAAACGGCAATTATGAACTTTTCGGAAATTTCAAAAAACACAGAATACAACATTCCAAATGGCACAGTCTTACCCAAATTGAAAAAGAAGTGCTTTACCGAAAGCTTGCCAGTGACAAAAAGTTTAGTGACAATATGTTAAGAGCAGCAAATGGTTTTGCAATACCAAAAGTTAAACGTCTCGCCAAGAAGCCTGGTCAACGTCACCGGCCAAGGACAGCTGCAGTGAGGACAAAACCGAAATTTTAAATGTTATTGTTAAATCATATGTATTTATTTATCATGTTTATTTAATCTTATTAAATCATAATTGGAAATATAAAGTTTTGACTTTTTTGTTATAATGCAAGTATTCTTACTTCACTTAAAAATATTATCATACGTATAAAGAAAACAAAGTGATGATATATGAGACAAAAAAAAAACAACAACACATTGCTATCCTATATAATTTTCGAAGTTTTGGTAATGCTTTACCCTTGAAAGTTACAACAATAAGATACCAAGAATAATAATTGACGTTTTTATCAGTTATGTTACATTTTAACTATTTAAAAATTCAAATACATGAACTATCACTTAACCCGGATATAAAGTCGGTTCCAAACCGATACCGGTGAAAACTACAAATCGTACATTATTAAAATCGCAATTTTTATTGAAATTGTTTGGTTTTTTTTACATTTTTCTTCATGAATTATAATATTTTTATGTTTTGAAATGAATTTCAGGTCCTTTGTGCTCTTATGAAACTCCTTTGTGGTCCTTTGTGCTCCTTTGTGCACAAAGGAGGTCCTTTGCGGTGTTTTTAGAGACCCTATTTTATTTACCTTTGTGTGTAATAAGTTTTGTCGTTGCTAGTAGTAAGTAATTTTATTGAAGTGGCAGAATAGTTATCAAAGGTAACTGGGGCTATAATTTAATACGGCAGACGATTACATTTGCAATACATTAGTTTATATAAAACAAAGAGTAGTGTAATGACATGGGAAAGTTACGCCCATAAAACCTAACAGAATACTGCAGCTATGAACCAAGAGAAGAGGTGAGATCAGATAATAATCTATTGACAGAAACATCCGCTAATCTGATGATTATTAATTCCTAACTGTCAGTATTAATTATAAGCCAATTAAACTATAAAAGTGGTAATGTATCATGTAAACATAACAATCTTTCCCCTTTTAATTTAGAAGATCAAAATAAGCAAGATTAATCTCTAGTGAATGAAAGTAATAAACTCAATCTGCTCTCAATTAAACTAAACAGCTACAAGCTTTACTGTCTATGTATTAAATGTTCAATTATGATATCCTAAACCTACAGTTATATCACTTCACTAATTTAACCACAAATATTTACAGTCATATGTTTTCAATAAGTCTCTTTCGTGCTTTTCTTACTCTTTCTGATAGGCGCGTAATGATAGTGTCAATAGCATTTTCAACTGTTTTATTTTCGGTTATTTTAGTTGGTTCGGATTCATTGTTATTTTCAGAGTTTTCGGTATCGCAGTTTGAATTGCATGTTGGCACTAGAATTAATTCAGTGTCAATATCAGATTTGGTATTTTCAAGTATGTTTGGTATGTCTTTATTTTCCTGCGGTACAAATTCCCGAATCTGATCAACATGTCTTTTTGAATTTTGGAGCTAACATGTGCTTCTGATTTGTTAACAATGTCCAGCAATCAATATACAGAATTAAGAGTACTAGTAGTTCTGACTACCATGTGGAAAGTGCAAGCAGACAGTTGCAGTGAAGGTAATTTCGCTCGTAGACTAGCCAAGAAGCTGTACACAGTAGACTAATTAAATGGGAGAAATTACAGCGGAAAAAGGGAAAGATAGCCGTCAATAAATCGAAAACATGCCATTATTAACTGTTATGGGTCCAATCCAGAACAAGTCTCGAAAAACAACAAAGTCATCATCTTTACTAAACATTAGTCAACAAGATACTCCATTAACCAAGGAAGTGTACTACATTAAATTTGAATGTACATATTTATATATAAACTTTTAAGAGCCAATCTGCCAGAAAACCATGCAAAACCGTCCGAATGTCACTTTTTCCAAATGAGTTCATATTTGGCATATTGGTGCACCTTAGTAATGTAAAAAACCACACAAATTATTTTGGGAAAATATTAAACCGATCTGGATATTTTTTGAGCGCCAGGTTTTAACAGATGAAATGGCTCGAAAACAGCAAAAATAAGCCTTTTTTGGCATATTTCGCTGGTTTAAATAAAAAAATATGGTAACATTTATAATTTTTTGATAGTTGTTCCTAGTAATACATCACTTTAAGTGTAAGAATGCATAGAATTAACAATGCTGTCTATTAATTGTATGTATAATCTAACTGTTTCAATATGTCTAATTTAGCTACATGTCCAAAATGGCTGATTTTGGTCATCTTTCAGAGCCAAAATACTCCAAGACCCGTTTATTATTGTAAAACAACATATCTACTTGCAAAGTATAACTATATATTCCCAATCAAAAAAAATATCAAGCTCGGCAAATAATGTTGGTGTCTGGTATATGCCACAACAAAATGGGGTAACCTGCATATTCAAATATTCTCAATTTTGTCGTCTAATTTGTAACTACTGACATATGATAGGGTCTGGACTTATAAATAAGTATAACAACAAATGGAAATGAATAATTAATGTTTCATTTAATACATTAAGAAAATAATCATACATAAATACAAATTATTCATTATAAATCTAGAGGCTCACAGGAGCCGAAATAGATCGTATTGACAAATTGTGCACCTAAAACGATAAAAAACACATATTTCAAACGCAATCAATTTAAATTGGAAGTTAAACAATTCAGAATAAGTTCAGACTGTAAAAAAAAAGTTTCTTCTGACCACTTTTGCAATTTATTCTTATAATATATTGATATAGTTGTCGGATAGTAGCAGAAAACTGTGAAAATTTGTAAATTTACACATTTCAGGGACAATAGCTCATAGATGTTATGTCCAATTTTTCAGAAAAATTTTGGGTATTTAGATCTTGTCATGTTTATAGTTTTTATCAATATATATATTGAAAAGTTTTTAAATTTTGTATACATATATATATGTATGACACTTCTTCTAAAGTTATTAAGATGATGGTTAAAAGTGAAAACTGTAAACAGATGATTTTAACAGACACTTAGTGATGGAAATTTTTTTATGACCCTTTGAACCTAGTATGCTAACAAGGCAAGATTTGCCAGGTACCTATATCTATGTTGCTGCAATGTGGTCAATACAAACATGAAAATCATAAATGCTTCTAAAAAAAAATCTGATAACTAGACGAAAAACAAATTACTTAGTCTATATATACCAGTGCAAAATTTATTAAGAATTTTGAATGAAATTGGATAGCTGTTAAGATTACTGTACCTATAATGCTCTACATCACATCCTCGGAGATAACAGAATTAAAATAAGTCATATGAATCTTCAAATTTCAATAAAGTTGAATGTGTTTTTTTATACTTGAACGGCTATAGGTTTTACTATAAAACAAGCGTACATTAACTTTCTTGTAAAAGAAAAATCATAACATTAAAATCTCGAATAAATGATGAACTGTTATTTTTTGAGACATCATCCCATGGAAGATTTAACTGATGTTTTAAAGTTGGAAAGTTTCTGTTGCTTGTTTGGTTGGTTGAAATTGTTTCTGTTAGAAGCATTATCAGTCTCCCAATCTGATGTTGACTGCTGTAAAAGTTCAGTTGTTGTTGACACTGACAGAAAGGTTAGCTGTGAGTCTAGATCTGAAAACCACAAAACATACATACATAAATCAGGCTGTTAGTTTTCATATTTTTTCATTTTCTTATTTTGGGGCCTTTTATGGCTGAATATATATGCAGTATAGGTCTTGCTCATTGTTGAAGGCCATATGGCGTATGAAGACCTATAGCTTTACTTCTATGTCATTTGTTCTCATTGGCAATCATACCACATTTTTTTTTAATTTCATATATACCACTGACAGGAAATAAAATTGACAACTTTTACTGTAAGTGGATGCAGTTACAAAATTCTCCCAACTAAAGCCAAATCATTTTTGCAGAATAGTTATTATCCACTCCTTTTAAGCATATCCAAATAGCCCTTAACATCTTTACAACAATAAAAATTTCCTCCATTTGGTTTGGCATGTCAAATTACCTCTCAATATAATTTTACATTGAAAACAGACAATGGTGATAATTTGACCGCTTTTAGTGACAATCTTTGAAATGGTGGCCATCTTTATATCTGTTCTCTGTGTCAAAGTACAGCTAAATATCAATATTCTTTAAAATCAAACTCAACAAAATTGAAAATTTTACCCTTTATTTGCTGTGTCCATCTTTAAAAAAAAATGTCATTGTTTTGTTGGCATGTCAAAAGTGCTATAATTCCTTAATGTCAATTTTCATATAAGGCCATCTTGAAAATATTTACCATTTTGGAAGAAAAAACAACCTTACTTTGTTTAGCAAGTCAAACTACCACGACTATCCCTAATTAACAATTTTCATTAAATTAACCTGTGTTGAAATTTGTGCCATCCTTGGTGGCCATCTTGAAAATGTTTGACATCAGATAATCATCCACATATTGTGCTTTTCTTTTCACTAAAGTTTCATTTAAAAAGATAACACCAGTTATCTCAGAAAAGGACAAATCTTGTGGAAGATGAAGAAAAAATGCAAGTTTGGACAGAACATTCAAGCTATAACAGCTCTAAATTTGTAATGGGATTAAATATTTGACAAAGAATAGGTTTCTAACACAGAATAAATATGGTATAAAAATAAAGTTTAATAGATTCAGCATATCAGAGAACCCCAAGATCAAATTAAGATTTAAAATTTAGTTTAATTTTGGACCCTTTGGACCTCAATGTAAACCAATTTCATAATAGGGCCCAAAAACTAAATACAGGTTAGATTCAGGCTGAATCAGCATCTTTAAAATTATTGTTGAAATCAAACACAGTTAAATTATGGACCCCATTTGAACCAACTTGAAAACTGGGACCAAAATCATAAATCTAAGTACATATTTATATTCAGGATATTTGATTATTTCTATTTATCATTCAAAGAACCCTAATTCATTGTAATTAGAGTTCAAGTTTTGTTAAAATTAAACTAAGTTAAAATTTGGACCCTTTGGACTTTAAAATGTGGACAAATTTGAAAACCGGACCAAAATTAAAAATCTAAATATAAAACATTTGCATTTTGTATATCAAAAGAACCTCAAGAATTCAAGTTGTGTAGAAATAAGAAAAATTTTTTTGGACCATTTTGAAATCAGTGTGAACCAATTCAAAATGAGGCCCAATTGCAACATCTTAAATTATTTAAATACATAGTTAGATTTAGCATATTAAGAACCCAAATAATGTATTTATTTTAATTTGTTCTTGGACATTAGCATTACCAACAACCAATCA